AACGGGACAAATGGAGAAACAATTATCTCGAACATCCGTTGTGTAGGTTTGACAATGGATGAGAATGGATCTCTCTATATCATTGACAATGAAAACGATGAAGTGAGACGATATCGACGAGGAGAATCTCAAGGAACAGTGGTTGCAGGTGGCAATGGAAGTGGAAACCGTCTTGATCAACTCTCTGATCCACAATACGTATTCGTCGATCGAGATCACTCAGTGTACGTGTCTGATTTAGCAAATCATCGTGTGATGAAATGGTTGGAAGGTGAAAAAGAAGGCATTGTCGTGGCTGGTGGTCAAGGAAAAGGAAATGATCTCACACAATTGTCACATCCTCGAGGAGTCGTTGTGGATCAGTTGGGTACCGTCTATGTGGCTGATGCAGGAAATGATCGAATCATGCGTTGGCCCAAAGGAGCCACACAGGGAGGTGTCATTATTGGTGGAAAAGGTGCAGGAAGACAATCAAACCAACTCAATGGACCTTTCGGTTTGTCATTCGATCGATACGGCACTCTGTATGTCGTCGATTTGGGAAATGATCGAGTACAAAAATTCAAGATCGATTCAAATAAATAAAAAATATAACCTCGGCAAGTATTTATTTGACTGCTGACAATCAATTAACATAACTCTCTTAATCTGATTAATTATAATTCCTTGGCATTCAGTAATTTAAGTCTAATCAATATGATCCAAAAAAGACAAGAATAAAAATTTATTTAGGAACTCTTGGAAACACATAAAACACAACGCAAAAACCAGAACTGAAATATGGCTGACTTCTCTCAAAAACGAATCCTCAAAACTCTCTCAAACATTTCTGAGATTTCAAGATATGAAACGATTTGTGATCTTCAGAATAATGAAGGCCATGATTGATTCTATCAAATGCCAAAGATTCCAACAGATCGCAGATGGAGAAGGCTTGAATTTCTAGAATATCTAAAAGCCCTACTAGGGTCATATACGCGGTGTGGTGTGAGTAGGTGTGGAGTATGGGTGTGGAGTGTGGAGTGTGGATGCGGGATGTGGATGGTATGGATTCTTCTTCACCCACATGTTAGCTCTCGTTTTGGGGATTATGTAGCAATGGTAAAACTAATATTTAGTCTGCCAAAATTAGAGAGCTAAACATGTTTTAATAATCGACTTTGTCGTCGTGTCATATATAGAATATATTGAGTATCGAGTGATCGATACGATAGAACATTAACAACTGCGCAATAACGAAAGACAAAAAGATAATCACGAGATGAATCATAGTTGAGAGATTACGTAACAAATCAAATCAGAGATTCAAAAAATAGATAACATAAGATAAACTTTTAGCGTCAGTAAGCACCATCTACTGATGCTAACACCACAAACCCATATGCACCCACTCACACCCACACCCACACCCACACCCTCTCAAATGTGATTTTGATGGTCATTGTGAAATCAACATTCTTAATCGACAGGCCTGTTGTTTCTGTTGGTTGAATAAATATTTTGCAAGTGGAAGGCAAACTGAGTCTTTTCCAGCTTCATTCTCGAACTTGAGAAAAACAAATCGATAGAAGAAGGCAGTGATTGAATCGATAGAGACAACATGTAGTGCTTCAGCAAGCGTATTTACATGCGAGGCAATTAGCCATAATACATATGCTTCTTTCTTTCGTTCCGAAAAGTCAACGTATTTTATCAGGATTTGTCTACTAATTCCATTAAATTTTCTCGATGATTGATCTGAAATTGAATTAAGAATTCCGATGCAACTTTTATCTCACAAAATATGAATTTTATTAAACGTAACTTCTGAAGTCATTTATGGGTCAGCCTCAATTGCAGCGGATGAGCTTATAAGTGATCATCTCGATTCTGATATCGTGTTTTTCGAACTAGTACTTTTGATAGTTGCTTTCTCTACATTTGACTACGCATTTTACATAAACACTTCTATCAATCTGAAGAATATTATGGCAGTGTTACATATTCAGAAAATGTACATTAAACTACCACGGAGATATTTGGTCTACACATAGAGTAACTCATACGCTATTATTCATTTCTCTAATCCTGGACGATGGATTTTTACTTCTAATAAGTCTACACTTAAAACGATTGAAAGTGAATAGTATACAGATACGATAGATATTGTTGTTAAGAGGATTGAAGAGACTCTTTCTCTAAATGCCTGACTCTTTTTTCTTTCAGTTGTCGAATGTTCATAAATCACAGTTCTTTTCAATAACAAAAGTTAGCTTCTTGTTACAGTTCTTTTTAGAGAATCCCACGAAAGCAAACAAATAGCGATTCGAAGAGTTTTTTTTTCCGTTTGCGAAATTTTCTTGCACAACATATATGATCAAAATATAATATATCTCTTTTTGTTACATGGAATCATGTAAACTCTTGAGATGTGCAAAAATACTAAACGAAAAACAAACTTATTCATACAAGAGGTACTTTTTTGATGACAACTATGATCCAAAACCAAAAAATAGAAACAAACTATTCTTAAGAAGAAGGATACATGCAACTACGAAGCATATGATCTGTATGCTCTATTCTTCTTGATCACGACATAAGAACAAAGAAAAGTAACGGATATTCGGACACAAGGTATTCACAAGGCTGCTAGATCAAATCATGAATGATACCTTCTACGTTGACCGTTATTTACACAGAGCAGAAAACAGAAATAGCACAAATGATGCTAACTGATTCAATCAATGAACTTGAGTTTTTTCGAGAAATCCAATTCAAGGAAAAAACTCGACTTTGAAAGCTAGACTTTAATATTTTTGGTTTGCTATGACTAAATACTTGTCATGGAAAAGAAATGATTCGATGTTTGACCATATGCAGGAATCAATCAACGAATAGTTCTGTCTAATAGATGAATAGGGTGAGGGTGAGTGTATGGGTGTGGATGTGTGGGTGTGGGTGTGGGTGTGGGTTTGGATGCGGATGTGTGTATCGATCAGGAGAAAACATACATCCACACCCACACCCACACCCACCCATTCACACCCACCCACTCACACCCACACCCCACCCACACCCACACCCCACACCCCACCCACACCTACACCCCGAACACTATTTATAGTTTACTATTCAATGTAGCTATACTTGTCGAGAAAAGACCTGATATTTTTAAAACTTATTAAAACTTGAACAAATTTTTATATAAAAAATTGATTTTTATGTCGTTTCGCGTCGTAGTAAGGTGCTAAACTCTCAAAAATTGTTGAAAAAAGATACTATTGTTTTGAAACTCCATAACGACTATCATTTTCTAAATATCTTAGCCCGAACTAAAACAAAAATTAATAAAATGATCACTCACAGTAGGTCTAAATGATCTCTATCTATGATAGAAGTTTCAAATGGTTTGCTTTTGCCATTCACGAAAAATACAGAATACGAAAAAAAACAATTTAGTAACATTTCGTCATGCGGTGATGTTAATTAACGATATTCAATTTTATAAAGTATGTATGTCACTGAAAACTCAACGTAAAAAATGTGTTGACTTTAGTTAGTTTGAGAATTACATTCTTATCTATCCTTTGTAACAAACAGTTGTCTTGCGTGTTTTCCACCTATTTGAACGTCGTTATCGAGTTAACTTCGATAGAAACATTAACTACTAGAGCTATTATCAATACACTAACTAAAATACCCTCTTGTTACCGTATCCAGGTCAATAGAAACGAACCGTTTCCAGGAGAAAACTTCCTGCAATCGATGAAACTATGTAGGAGTACTTCTGGATGAATTTATTTTAGACTGTCATTCTTAAGACGACTTTTGAGTAACATGTTGCTCCTTTTAGCCGTGAAGCAGCCGGGAATTTTGAGCAAAGTTCGTAAACTTTCTAATCCACAATATTGCGTACGAATCCCATCGGTTTTCGGTGATTTTTCTATATCTGTCTGACTTATTCTTGTGAAACCGGTTTCTTTTCAATGTCTAGAATCATTGATCTAGGTCAATATTAAAAATTACGTTCCATTACAAGAGAAATATCACAGTTAATAGTAATTAAAAACTCAGTAATATAAATTGCTTGGTTGCTGAACGGCTATTATAGGCACTGCAATGCTTTGTTCGAAAATCAAAGATGGACAATGAATTCTCTTATATTTTCATGATTTGTAATAACTTGACTTGAGTATTGCATCTTGTGAAACACTTTCTGCGATTATTAATTCAAATTTGCAGAGGATTCTATTAATCTTTATGAGAATATAACATATATTTTAGGCAATGTGCTATTTTGAATTTAGGAATCAAAGAACAATAAAGAAATTGTGAACGGATTTCCTTTTATTCATACTCATTTCATTCTTCGACAAATGCTGCTTACTTTTTAGACACAATCAAAGAATAGACTAATCCTTAGAACTAATATAATGACTCATACAAATCATAATTGTTTCTAGACCATCTATATAGAAAGTCTATTCAAGACTTGGAATCATTTCATATCTCTTCTTAGTAAAAGACAAAACATTACACGCAAAAAAAAATTCGAAGCTTTTTTTAGTCTATAGAGTGTGAAAAGTTTTTCCACGTAAAATAAGCGATAATTTCATATTTGCAACGTTTTAGAAAGCTCTACTTAGGCACAAAATATTGTGTGTTTGTTAATACTCTGTTGTTGAGCCAGTCCGTATTCAAATTGTCTTTTTAGGGTGGCTTATCACTAGTAACATGACCTATGTACGATGTTGGCATACGGCATCCATATTAACAGACGGAAATGTGTTAGTTACTGGAGGACTGAATCATAGTGGCTATCTAAATAGTGCTGAATTATATGATCTATCAACATGAGCATGGACAACGACTAGTAAATTAAATATGACACGATATTCGCACACTGCATCTGTGTTAACGAATAGAAAAGTGTTAGTCATCGGTGGATGGAGTGTTAGTTTTCTCTAAATACGGCTGAGTTATATGATCCATCAACAAGACTTTGGACAATCACTCGTAGTATGAATGATAAACGAAGTCACCACAGAGCATCTATATTAACAAATGGAAAAATCTTAATTACTGGTGGATATGATTCTATTATTAGTTCTGCTATAAAGAATACTGAGTTATATGATCTATCAACAGAAACTTGGGCAATGACTAGAAATATGAATTATGTACGATATCTACACACGGCATCCGTATTAAAAAACGAAAAAGTACTAGTCGCTGGTGGATATAATAAAAGTACTAGTCTAAATAGTGCTGAATTGTATGATCCATCAACAGGAACTTGGAAAATAACTGATAATTTGAATAATGGAAGATATTACCATACAGCATCTATATTAAAAAATGAAAGAGTGTTAGTTACTGGTGGATATAATCTTGGTTTTGCTATAAATAGTATTGAGTTGTATGATCCATTAACAGGAATATGGGCAATGACTGATAGTTTGAATAATGCTCGAGGAAGCCATTCGGCATCCGTATTAACAAATGGTGAGGTGTTTGTTCCTGGTGGATTGTATAATTTTGCTTTAAATACTGCAAAATTATATGAACTCTCTCAAGCAAATGAATAGTCAACGATTTTATGTTTATAAAAAAAATGCAATTTAATACTCGAACTCCAATTTCATAAAGAGAACTCTTTGATTCCGATCATGACAAATAATTTTCTTCGATTTTTTTGTTACATTGTTATATATTTGAGAGTTCGATTTAGACTATCGAGATATTTTCGGTGCTACATTTTGACATATTCAATTTATTGTGATAAGAAACTCTCAGCTTATGTGATGAATTTAATTTGTTGAAAATGTTTCATAAATTTTCCAATTGATCGTTTTTGCAAGAATTTGATTTCCTTTATATTAGTGATAAATATTATATCAGCACTTAGGGATAGATGAGCAAGCAGACCCTTTATTTTATTCATGTAAATTTTAAAGTATATCCTTTCTTGTCGAAAAAAACGATTGCAGTTTGTTGTATCTAATGTGTTTAAGAATAGAGGGTGTGGAATGTGGGAGTGGAGGGAATCAAAGCACCCATACCGACACTGACACCCTCCCCCGCACATCCACACCCACCCACACATCCACATCTACGCCCACCATCAAGATCAAGATTAGATTTAAAAGATGGTTGGAAAAAATCTCCATATGCCGTTTTTTAAGATTATTCCTTTTGTCGAGTTATTCTTCTCGAAAATTATTGAGAAATTGATTATTGAAAAGAACACGTTATGATTTGTCAGATTTAAACGAGTCTTACAAATCGAACTAACTTCTAACGCTAATAAAAAGTGTTCCATTTCAATGATCGAACTAAATCTTACATTTTTTCTTATATAAAATCGAAAACGTATGTTTTCTCAACGTCAATCTTTGCAAGTCAATACTGAGAAAAATCTAGTAAAACTTCAATAGTTTGTTTCCTTTTAAGATAAACCCATTTGCGATCTTATGAATAGATTCGGTAGTGAATTTGTTTCTTATATTTCAAATAATGTCTGTGATCATCTATTAACAATTGTCTATCTTAGATTTTTATTTATTTTATTATTATTAGATAGTTGGCTTTGTTTTACTTTGTCAACAATATATACAGGATTTTTTAAATATTTTCAATAATTTTCAGGAATATATGCGTTATAGATATCGACGAATGAGACAACCATTATTTTATGTTGAAATATAAACTGATCATCGTTTAATACTTCATTATCGTTGTCGTCGACGACGATTTATTCATTATGTTATTAGACAAATAACTCAGCTTTTATAGAATACTTTTATTTTATTTTAAATATATATATTGATAGGTGGATTGTCGATTGTTATTATAGAACAAATATTGACACTGATATTGTTAGTCAACGAGAAGAATTTCATATAAGAGATGTTCTATTTGAGGTGCTATTTGAAAAGACATCATACATATCAACATAGAGAGGAACTTGATCTAGCAATTGATTGTCATATTTGTTTTTTGAATTATTTCTATTATCATATGGTTATATAAGAATCATTAGAAATAATATCAGATCGAGATTATTTAATAGAATTATTTACAAATATAATCGGGGAAATAGTTCGTGACATATTGGGGAGTGGGTGTGGGTGTGTGGGAGTGTGGGGTGTGGGTGTCGATGTGACTGTGAATGGAACCGTGACTATTCTCTACTCTGAATTCCATACTCACACCCACATCTACCCATACACCCAGCCCCACCCACACCATGTTGACTCTTTCAAAAGTCATCAAATATCTTTAAAAACAAAAAAAGTTATCTTTCGAAGCCCATATTTGAAAAGGAATGAGCATACAACTCGCTAGCTATTTACTTGTCTAAAATATCTTTTAGCAGATCAAAAGTGAGCAAACATCATGTCAAAAAAACCTTCAAATTGGTTTTTATTTTCAAAGTATGAGTTAAACAATTTTGTCTTTTTTAATAGTCGACAATACATATATTCCATGTGTTTATGCTAATCTGTATGGAATTATAGCTACTTATTGACTGTTTAATAGAAGAAGACAAAATGTTGCAAGTTATCTTAGAAAATATGCTGATGTCGATTAGCAGTAAATTGTAATCATTTTCTGATTAAAAGCAAAATATATATTTCAATATGTCAGATATGAAGCAGGATGGTTTAAATCAGTTATTGTCAGATTTTTTTGTGTGTATTGCATGGGCGTGGGTGTGGAGTGTGAGCATTGCTATTGTTTTCAGTAATATCTACATCGACAACCATATCCACACGCATACCCAACTACACTCATAAACACACCCACACCCACCCTTAAGATTGGAACTAAGCCAGAAACAGAGGCCGAGACCGATTTGGGAATCCTGCTGCCGGAATTTGCTGGTAATCCACCGAATCTGGTGGTTTTCCGCCGTATATCTTCGGCATGGGTAAATTAGCGACTAGGGCATTTCAAACAGACATCAAGATACAATTTTTTTTCCTTAAAGAATAATCATATTTTATGTTTTATTTCTGCTACCGTGATTAAAAGAAGAAAAAAGATTATGACATGAAGTTCATTGAAGATTGTAGTAGTTATTATCGATCATCTTTGACATCCACAAAGACTCTTACATCTTGAAATGCAGTCACCGCCAAAAAATTGTTTACAGACTGCTTTGCAGGAACTATAACATGGACATCGATTTAACCAACCAGCATCAACCATAGAAGCCATCATTGAAAATAAAGCAACAACAAAGATGACATAAATCAGAAAACCTTTCGCAGAAACCATCTTACTAAAAATAAAAACTTACCACTTGCTTAATATGATATAAATCTATATAGAGGAACTTACCCGAGAACTAAAGCAAATTCTTTACTTAATACTTCTTTTGAACGTTTCTAGAGTATAGTCTGTAACAGCGAGCAACCTTATGTATATGAGTGATTTGCAGAACCATTGTACCGTTATATTCTTATTAGAGGTGTTGCTTCATTTTTATCTTTTTTTATAAAAATAAAGATAAAATAAAGAGTAAAGATAGATTTTTGTCTGCCACAGGAGAATAGATATGATTTATATAATAGCAAGATATATCAAATAAAAGGGGTATATATAAGAGAGGAAAGTTACTGCTACGTAACTAAGTAACTGATATCGCAAAATTTGTCCGTTTGATTTTTCTATGAAAGATAGTCTATTTGAAAGAAAAAACAGGCAAAATCTTATAGAACTTGTTCAAACCTCCCAACAATAGTCTTCATTGAGAAAAAAAATCAAACTGAGAAATTTTGAGATACTACCTACAGATTCGAATTCCTCGATGTCAACAACCTTTGATCGAACTTTATAAGAAACCACTATTTCCTTAAAATAAGCCTTTTTTAACGAAAAAATCAAACTCACACATTTCACAGTATCAGTTACTTGGTAACGTAGCAGTAACTTCCCTCTCCTATATATACCCTTTTTATTTGATATATCTTTGCTATTTTAGAAGTCATATCTATGTTCCTGAAGCAGACAAAAATCTATTTTTATTTTTTATTATAACAAACAATAAAAGTAAAGTCATACCCCTAATGCTTATGAGTGTCATATAACCGATTGGTTCTCTTTTTATTTGAACTTCGGAAATTCGCGATGTTATAGTATACAGTTTATACCTCTCGAATATGAAACTGATGGTTCTTTCAAACCGTTTTGTATTGCGGTTTTCTTTGAATATCACAGGTACAGTCAATCCTCGATGAGCTGTCACGCAAAAATTAAAATCACTTGGACATCTAGCAAATGCATCTTAAATTGGTCAGGCTGGTGTTGAATGAAAGTCTATCCATGGGAAATAAAACTGTCGAAGACGAAGAGAAAGCTATTCTAATCCTTGTTAGCAAAAAAATATGAAATAAAATTTGAAAATTCAGTCATCACAATAGATGTTACACGAGATCTTTTAGCTTGATTGATGCGTAACTCTTCATCTACGACATATAGAGATGAAATTTTGATCATTTTATTCACTCACTGTCGCTAATCATCGCTAAAAACATCAATTTCAAAAAACTTACAATTCGATGAAAATGTATCCCAGAAAATGATTGTGGAATGATGTTTTGATACTGTGCAACCAGCAAATGATATAAAAAAAAACATTCTCTATTTATATGGACTGCGATACCTGCATGATAAATCATGCGTGCCAGTTTGGACATACGTTTTGAGACGCAATTAGTTTTTCACCTTTGCTCAAATTATCATAAAAAACACGTTTTGAGGCGCAATTAGTTTTTCACCTTTTCTCAAATTATCATAAAAAACTTCCTCCATCATTGTGTATTTATTAGTCATATGGTGAAAATGTATTCATTTGACGCTGCATTAAGATGATAATTTAGAACACGAAAAATGTTTAATGTGGTAAAAATATGAGCATCTACAAATAAAAGCAAAACATTTTCAATATATAATCGTAGCTTCTCAAAAGAGATACTTTTTAATTAAACATTTCGCTATTTAAAGAAAGTTTCGGCTATTTAAAATTCTTAAAAGAGATACTTTTTAATGAAACGTCGCTATTTAAAAAGGTCTTAGCTATTTAAAAGCTTTGATATTGATTTTTTCGTACTTAGCCAGCAATTTTAACAAAATACGAGTGACACTGAATTATTTAAATAGATGTATGACTCTTTGTTTTACATTCTAATTTTTTTCATCTGTAGCAGTCCTAAACTTCATCCAACAGGGTACAAGAAAGACTGAATCAAAAGAAATTATTCCAGATGTTTAAGAAAGTAACAGAACATGACCGATTGTTAGATTTTTTCATCATCTATCAATTAAGTAATATTGTGCCGGAATAATATTCATCATTAGTTACAGAAGGTTGTGTCATACTATAGTCAAAAACATTTGCTTCCTGTTTGAATATCTGTTGTTAATACAAAATGTTCCTATATAATGTTTTAAATACAATCGCCGTTTATTTGAATATTTGTAAGTCTCTTATAAATAATATTCCAGTCCAAAAACCGAATCTAGATAACAGAATAACGAATAAACGAGATTTTACATGCATATTCTACGGATGAATACTTGT